AAAATGTCTACAAGTAAATCATGGAAATTGGGGTTGTTGAATACGAAAGCTTTACGCGTATTTTACTGTGTTTTGAACTTTAAAGGAAATGCTCTCTGATGTTTTGCAAGATCGTTCACTCGTGAAACCCTTGAGTAGTTTAAAGAAGACCAGGCGGTATCAATCCTCCGTCCGTTTTTTATTTTGAGTTTGACGCAGAGCGAAATTCGCTACGCTGCACTTCGTCTACTGTATAGTGGACTCGATGCGTCATTTTACCTAGCAAAAGTTGAGGTAAAAGATATTTTTTTATTTTGGTTATATTGTTATTAGTAAGAAAAACCCAAATTTTGCACCTCGTAGTACCTCGTGACAAGTTTTGGTAGACAAAAAACCGAAAACGTTTCGGACATATTTTGTTTTTGTATAATAACGTTTTAATGATTGAATTTAGTGCAAAATATTTATGTACAATTTTAAATCTCTACTAATTTACTTTGTAAATCATTTCTCTCAAGCAAATGGTAACAGAACCACGAGATTTTAAAATTTCACATTTTTCTTTTTATTATGAAGTAAAAGGGTTAGCGCATACAAGAAATTTGCATCAAAGTTCCTTATTGATATCTGATTTGCTATTGGATTCAGCAATGCGTGTTATTTGCTGATCCCATTCATATTGACGGTCCCATTCAACTGCATCGATTATTGATATCAAAGAAAATTTGTAATCTTGTGCAGACAATTACTTTTTTGTACAGGACAGTCCTTTTTGTTATTTCATAAATTCAATCTTATTCTCTTTTCCACAAAGGAAACAATAGGTTTTGAAACTGAAGTATATATTGTATGATCTAAGAGCTGTTGATATAGCTGGCTGAGACTGCTTCCTTTCCTTTGGAGTTGATGCCGAAATCAATTTTGGATTAATATACTTAGCATGACTAGGTTTAGGTAGTCATATCCTACCACAAGAGCAATTTTTGAATGGATAAGACTCCTTAGTTCTTCCTCACAGCCACTTCACCTTCGTCCACACTCCCCTCACATATAGAACACACTCCCGACATACATATCTAAACGTTAATTATTGGGAACCTGTTCAAAAAGGATCGAGAGGGAAACGAGCGATGTAGAAGCGCTATTAGGAGCGATATAGGGGATATGGAATGGCCGAGATTTAAGATTTCAAAATCTGTTGTAAATGATAAACACCATAACGTCCTTTCATAACAATAATAAATTTCGATAATTATGAAACCTGTCATGATAATGCATTTTCCAAATAGGGTTTTTTCCTTCTCGGTGCAGCATGTTGCACATTAGCATTTTTATGTAATAAAATTATTATTATTATTATTATTATTATTATTATTATTATTATTAAAATTGTTGTTTCTTCGTGTTGATCCTGATTTAATGTTCTAGATAGATGTGTCACGTAGGTTGGACCATGTAGGATCAATCTTAAGTAGATTCCAGGAATTAAGACTTTAATAGACTTACATCTGTCTACAGCATTAAATCAGGCTCAACAGGAAGAAACAACAATTTCAATATTATCACTGGCCTTAAACCTTGGAATATTCTTTAAATTGATCCTATATGGTCTAAACCTACGAGAAACATACATCTACAACAACAATTATTATTATTATTATTATTATTATTATTATTATTATTATTATTATTATTATTATTGTTATTATTGTTGTGATATTCACAAAGTCAGTGCCGCCGCTCGCTGTCGCGTGTGTGCCTCAGGCGTCCACATCGAAATCCACTCTGAAGTTACACACGTGACATTTCTCCCTGAATGGTAGGTAAAACATCCTGGTTGTTGGGAGGTACTCGAGTTTCTTTGACTGCGTGAGAACATGAATCTTTTAAATACTAGGGATTAACGGCTAGCGTATCGGGCTGCCATACACAAGTTCGTGGGTTCGAACCCGATCGAAGCGGTGGATTTTTAAGGGTGAAAAAATCCTTCGTACGCATTTCTTCGGAGGGGAAGTAAAACCAGCAGCCCCATCCTTAAGCCTGAAAGAAGCCTCTGAGTTAAATTCCAATCGCCTATTTTGTCGCCCTAATGGTACCTCCTTTCTCCGCTAGATGGTGAAGGAGATAGCGAAATTTAGGTGGTCAGAAGGAACAGCAGGCTTGATGGCCTGAGTTTCGCCACTTAAAATAAAGCATTTAAATTGAATTTAATGAGGAGTTGCATTCGGTGCAGGCGCAAATGCCACAACTTGTATTAGTTGTTCCTCCGCATTTTGAATGGCAAACTAGTGGTTCTTAAACAGCACGTACTTTCCCGCCCGTAATTTCACGCAAAATTACACGAAAAGTGCTCAAATTTTCGAAAATTTCTACGTGATCTTATTTCGAAATCTATCTTTAATATTAATATTAATTAATATTACATAAAGTGAAAAAAAATTATCTTTAATATTTTAGTTGTTAGATGACAAAAAAACTTTCAACGTTTGCGATTTTCGAAAAATCAAAGTTTTCGACGAATATCAGACCTGCATCATGTTCTTAAACGTCCTACACACTATCCAACAAAAAAATCAAAAGCGATGGAGTCACTTTTTTGAAAATTTTGAAAATGTCGCAGGAGCCGTTTTTTCACGCAAAATTATGCGAAAAGTACTTACTTTTTCGAAAATTTGTACATGACCTTATTTCAAAATGTATCTTTAGGGATCAGATTTCATCATGGGGGGGGGGGGAAATCTCTATCTTTAATATTTTAGCTGTAGAATGAGTCCGAAAAAAATTTTGAACTTTTGTAATTTTCGAAAAATCAGGGTTTTTAGTGAACATGAGACCTGCACCATTCACTTAAACGTACTTCACACTAACAATAAAATTTAGGAACGATGGAACCATTTTATTATTTTGGAAAAAGGTCTCAGAAGCTTCATGTAAAGTATCGGACAGACATACAGACTGTCTGGCAGACGTTTTACCGACATTCGGTTTCAAGGACCCACAAAACATGGATTCTGGCAACACCATGTAATAAAGAATTTTTTTAAATTTAGAAACTAGGTTTATCCACTTTTTCATTACCAGGGCCCTGCAATAAGAGATTTTCTGCCGAATATTCCCCGTTTTTCGCGCAGCATTACACTTACTCTGAAGCGAGAAAGTAAAAGTTATCATCTTGGGAATCATCTTGGGTTATCTCTTCTTGCATAGACATTTATACAGTTTGTTCTAGACACTGCACGCATTTGTGTGTTAATTGTTCGTGAATGTTTGCGCTGGGGTGTGTAATTTGAAACATGGAGCCCTCGTTCTACTGCCCCAGGTCGATTCTTTCATCTGGGCACTCCGGGGTGACGCACACTGGCTGAGAATGAAGAAATACTGGAGTAAATTTAATGTGATGCTATAACATATTTTTAACGCGTTTATCGGTTTTTTGGAGTTGCGTAAGTCGAATGTAATGCCAACATTTCAGAATATAGAATGTTGGAGCCACATGGCATTCTAAAACTTGAATAGTTATTTTTCTTGGAGAGCCAGATAGTATGCTGCCGAACCAGAGGTCTTTTTCAATCATTTTTCCTTCAATTCAAAATGACTGCTATTAAGAATGTATATTTTTATTTACATATCGTAATATATTTTAATAATAAATGAAGTGCAATAACAATATGTTCCGATAATAGTTATTTACGAAATAGGTTTCGTAAGACTACACAAATATCAGGCGTTTTATTCATTTTGTGAAATTCCTTTGTACTATCATTTCCGTTTAAATTTAACCATCCTGTGAAAAACAACAGGCCGATGTTGAGAGTTAATAGAAGCTCATGGGTTAGCAGAACTCTTCTGTCCTAACAATACGTTTTATGAAATTGATTATAGTTATTAATAATGCGCCATGAATTATTAGAACACTTGTGTTTTAATAACTTATATTACGGAACTAATCTCAGTTTTGTTTGTTTGAGTTTGATTTTTTCACGTTTGACTTTAGATAACCAAAGTGGATAAAATACAAATAAACCAAACGGTGCAAGAGAAACTCGCTAAGTTTTTTGAGAGACCGGGCGGGCCATGCGGCTTCAGTGAACATGTTTTTGTGCGGATCGCATCTACTTCCCTGCGTTCTACCTTCTTCTCTTGGATCTTTTCCGATCCTGTGAAATGTCCTGCGGCACTTGTTCGACAACTTGGTTCTGGCTGTGGTGCTCGTGAACGCCTTTAAAAACACGCCGTGTTTGTCCGATATTCCTATTGAGTGCGCGAGTACACGAGTAGATGCGGATCGCTTCACACCTAGTGCCGAGGGACCTGTAAGTGATTGGTTCCCTAACACCTGACCGTAACACCGTTTCTAAACAGGAGTTATCTTATGGGTGATCTGGGCTGTCCGGGTGACGCCGCGTCGAAGGCTGAGTTGCCGACGTTTCGACCATCCTGTCGTGGTCTTCCTCAGGGCTGGTAAGCCAGTCATACCGGCGTCACCCGGACAACCCAGATCACCCACATGACTCTGGCCGCGGAAGCCTACGACTTCAGGAGTTATCTTAGTTTTCCGCGAGTTGTTTTTATTTTATAAGCATTTATGGAACAAATATTTTATTAGTATATGTTTTGATGAAATATCAGTCGGATTTTGTTGCAAACTTTGTTCCACGACTTCCATTACTATCAAAAGTTAGTTACTATTAATTTCTCTTATTTTTGTGTAAGATATTTAATAAAAATAAATATTAAGCGTAGATATTGCAAGTATTATTATTATTATTATTATTATTATTATTATTATTATTATTATTATAGTGTATTGTAAAGTTGGTTTAATTGTTAAATTATAGAACGATGAAAATACGATTAGAAGAACAATTAGAATAATTAGTTGGTTCAGGTGCGTAGGTAATTTTGCGAAAGCCTAAGATCTCGTGAAGTTGTTGTTTTAATGTAGTATTTTTTTACATTATATTACATTACATAAATCGTGAGAGGTTCGTGCGAGTGAAATTCAGCTGCGTGGAATGCTGATGGAACCAGCCCAGTCCGTTACGAACCTGTCCTCTACGTGCCCGTGTGCGAGCAGCAGTGAGTGCATGGGACGGGGAAAGAAAGTAGTGGCGATAAAATGTCAACGAGATTTGTGCACTCTGAAACTGTTCGGGATGACCGTTGTAATGCTCTATTCTTTTCTTTTGGATTCGTGGAACAAATTCCTGAGTTTATTATTGTGTTTTTAGGAAGAAACCATGATTGCCAAGGGTCTGTTGAGAAGAAATTGTGTGTCCCAGAATGCGGATAATACTAATTAAAAATGGTTTATGTTGAAATGCAGCTAGTGCCTCGTTATTTGTACTATATTTGTACTATGAGGTAACTCTTCTAACCGAAGACATTAATTTTAACTCGGGTGTAAACTTGCATTTTGTCATGATGGAAATTGAGATAGAAATTCTTGGATGGAAGGATAAATAGTGTGTACTTATAATGCTAAACGTATACCTAATGTAAAAAAATGTACTAAACAAATAATAGTAATGGAAGTGAAGCATGTGACAGAAAACTCATTTATTTCGTCGATTAAATATCCAAGGACCCCAAATTCACTTACGATACACACTTAAAGCAATTCCAATATTTCAATATTAGTAGTATTCAGTAAAGTTGGTATGGGTGTAGATTTCCTTCCGAATACACGAATATATGATAACTATTTGCGATTTTACTTGCCAATTTGTACAGAAGTGTTCGGAACTGCTACATCTCATCTGTTATTTTGCCTTCAGCCGGAGGCTAAGCTAATCACGAATCGTCTCCCACGACCAGAGATGCGCAAGGCTTGCGGGCGCTCAGTAATTAATGACTCATTTCTCTGGCGGAAGATGGAGGACGTGCTTCATGCCACCATCCACATGTTACCCTTGCATAGTTCAGACGCACAATGAAAGAATCTGACAGGATGTGTCATTGTTTCATAATATAGCAATTTAGAACGATAATATTAATAATAACAAAATAATATTGAACACACTACTACACAATGATTCTACTACACAACTACATTCTTGAAGCATTCTACTTGACGAGAAGAAATCGAGAGGGACGTACTTCATTAGATCAAGTTGAGACAGAGCCACTAGAAATATATAGTACAGAATGAATTCATGAAAGAAAATAATATTAAAGAGAAATTCTAGAAATTACAACTACATACATTAGTTTATTTTTTACACTACGCAGAGACCTAAATTATATGGTCCACCGTTCGGCTCCAATGTCGTTTTAACTAATTTAACGCGGTTTCCTAAATGTCCAAGTAGCAAATGAATTTTGTCCTCAGTGAGCCACAGTGAGTGGAATTATGTACCGTTAAGAAGTCAGATATACTTGAAAAGACGCATCGTTCTCCATCTCCTTTGATAGGTTTGGCCTAATGATATCACTTTAATTATTCACGTAACTCAAACTTATTTCTCAGAGGATATATTAGTTTAAGTGAAAGATGATCAAAATTGGGAAAATAGAATTACAGCACTAATAAATTTACATCGTTTACAGCCTGATGTACAGTTGATGTACGATTTATGTTTTTTAATCCATAAATGGCTTTAGTAGTAGATTCGATTTATTATTAATTCTGCAAATAAGTATCGCAACTTGGTGGCAGAATATCTTAGCTTTAAGGTTAGATTGTAATAGGAAAAAAAGGTTTTTTTTTTCATACATTTTCTTTTGTATCAGATTTTCTGGAATCCCTTTTTTTGTTATTATTGCAATTTTAAAAATTTGTCACCTTTGCTCTCGTTCATATTGATCCGAATCATCCTTGGTGCAGTTCTTTCTTCATTCTATGTTATCGCCAACGTCAGAACGATAAGCGCAACAGGTGTATCAACTTGATCCAAACGCTCGAGAGCTTTATCATCCCGTCATCCCTGTTTTTGCTCGTTTCCGCTGCTTGTCTGCCCTCTTTAGCGTTCTCTATTTTCGTTTCGAATACATCGTGTTTTTGGTTGATTTGTTGTTTGTGATTCTGAATACAGTTACTAATGAGGTCATTTGTCCCGTAAGTGTAGTGCGTGTTTTTGCTCGGGAGGTGACGGTGATCTTTCCCCCGCTGTATGGCGAGATCCGGCGTCTACCATTGGCTAGTAGTGATTTTCCTCAACTAGGTATCTCCCACCAGCGGGACACCTCCCTAGCCGGGATAATTCTAAGCTCCCGACCAGTCTCCTGACATGTGTGGTAGTGTAGTGCATGTTAGTGTGTTTGAAAAAACGCGCTTGGTCCGTTTGATAGGGAATTGCTCCGGCATTCGCCTGATGTTGATCGGAGAAACCACGGAAACTACCGATCAGAACAGCCGGCCGCGAGAATTCTCCTCCAGACAGCGTCTGAATTCGACCGAGCTGACAGGGTAGTGTCGCACATCCTGCCGCCTTCGGGACTCGAAGCTAGGATATCCCGGTCAGAGAGACTGCAGTGACATTCGTTGATGCCCTGAGCCATCTCTCCCGGTCATGTTTTTGTTTTAGTTTCTCCGATTTTCATGTCTCGGAAGGGGAAGGTGAAATTAATTGCTCACGCGTGTGTATCTCTGCCTATTTGTTGCTGTTATCAATAATTTTTAATGAGTGAACTGCGCGACTGACCTAGTGGTTTAGCTTATTGGCAGAGTGCTCCCTTTCCATGACGAGACCCCTGGTTCGATTCCTGGTCGAGCAAGATTGTAATGTGCGTTTTCCTTGCAATGTCCCAGTATATGTTGCTATGTGACGATGAGAAAACTCTCTTTTCGGGTTGAGAAGATTAGAACACGGCATGGGGATGTCTTCGTACTCATCACACGTACCCTCTTAATCCATAGTCTCTAGGTCGGGACGCCGTTCGCGGGCTGTCGCGCCAAGTACGGACAGACAGATCTGCGAAATTATGAAATTTCTATAGAATCATTTGATTTCTTTATTGAGTGTTGTATAGTTTTCTCTCTAATTATTGGCATGCCCTATCACCATTCTCGAACCAATAAAGTGAAAATGCTGCAGCATGGCTAACGTAGGGAATCATATATATGAAATATTTATAGGAGACATTCATTTGTGGTGTTGTTCTTTGAATTTCACGCCTCGGATACATTTGTGTCGGGGGAACGCGCGAGGCCTTTGAAAGGTACGCGAATGGTTCAGAAAAAAGAAGAAACACATGACTTGTGGTTCAATGTACTTTCTGTAACTAACGCAATGAAGTTTATAATAGCTTACTCAACAATTTATCAACTCGAGAAAAATTGTTTATCTAATGTGAATGTTGCAAACAGAAGATTATAACTGTTTTCTGTAAAATTGAAAACTGACATAATTTTGAAAGATTAAGTTGCGTTACATTAAGACATGAAAGTTGTATAAGCGTACATAAAAAAATACATATTGCGGAAACTCTTTCTTAGACTTTAAAACAACATTATTTTTCTAACTTGTTTCAGTGAATATGTGATTGTGCGTAAAATATAATTTGCAGTTTCTACAGAACGTTTACTCACGAATCATATACCTTCTGTATATTAAAAGTGGCGTAATTTACCAGAGATTTACTTTAGGCTTTATTTAGGATGATAGGCGTGGAAAAAGAGGTACAATCTAATCAAGTTCGAGAACCGCAGATGGAGAGAAAACCACACAGTACGAAACCGGATGATCTTCGGACCACAAGACACACGTTGCCTTGCATTCTTTTTTTTTAATTCAAACTTTTCAGCACGTTATGAGTCACGATCGCACTTAAACTAATTGAGATACAAAGAAAATAAATTTTGAGTGAAGTCTCACTGTCAATATGTTGTAATGCTGTTCAGAATTGTAATAAAATGCATTGGTTTACATTGTAGACGGACGACAGTCTGTTAAATTCCTTAATGAACTCCGATTGTTAAGAGTAGCTATTCGTTTCTCGTTTGCGTTGTGTTGTTCCGAAATAACTTTTCAGTATTACGAAAATAAGTAAATATCTGCGTCAGGATGTTTATTCGTTGGTGCGCCCATTGAGTGTGATAGTGCGTTCGCTCGCTGGTGCGCCCTTGAGTGCGGTGGTGCGTTTGCTCGCTGGTGCGCTCTTAATTGCGGTGGTGCGTTCGCTCGCTGGTGCCCCCTTCACTGCGGTGGTGCGTTCGCCCGCTGGTGCGCCCTTAATTGCGGTGGTGTGTTCGCGCGCTGTTGCACCCTTGAGTGCGGCGGTGCGTTCGCTCGCTGGTGCTCCCACTGAGTGCGGCGGCATGTGTGTGTGTGTGCGCAGACGCTGGCGGCAAGAAGCGGCGCTTCCATCCCTTCCGCGGCCTGCGCCGCATGTTCAGGCGCAAGGTGCGCGCGGCGGGCACAGCGGAGCTAGCGGCGGGCAGCGGCGGCGGCGGCGGGGCCGGCGGCGCGGGCGGCGGCGGCGGGGGCGGCGCGGCGGACGCGCACCGCAGTCGCAGCGCCAGCGAGCTCCTGGCGGCGGCCGACGACTCCGTCACGGGGCCCAGGTGAGTCACTGCATGCTGGGAGCGGAGTCCTGCTGGTGTTGAGTGAGTGTTGTTATCCCGAGAGGTGGCGGTGTTCCTCCCGGGCTGGGTGGTGAGCTCTTTCGTCGACTTGAGGGAGGTCCCCGTTCAAGCATCTCCCCCAGTAAGGCACCACCCCCGCCGGGACGAACTCCAAGTGCCCGAGTTGCCTCCCGATATGTGCGATAGTGTAGTGCATATAAAGGCGTGTGTTTCTGTGTGTGTGTGTGTAGGGGAGAAGATAACAATGACGAAGGAAAGATCCTGCGCGTTCCCGTTAGATTCGCTTGATATGGATCGGAGGGAACATGGAAAAATTGCTGATCACAGCATCTGCTCCTCAGGTTTCTCCTCCAGACAGTGGCTGAATTCGCCCTTGCTATTTCGTGTCGAAAAATCCGCAACCGTCGAGACTCGAATTCTGACTTCCCTGTTCGAGTCACTACAGTGATAACAGTTCCTGGGCTAACAAACGGTCCGACGCCGGGTTTAGAAGGTCGGTCCGTGTGCTCTGTCCGGTCATATAATCGATTATTCTGAGCATGGCTAGTTAAATCGGGGTGGTGGTAAAGTTGTTTTTAATTGAAAGTGGTCGGTGAGTAGCAAACAGAATGATACGCACACATTTACGTATGGGCAAACTTGTGCTGTAGGCTATGGTCCTCCCTATTGTGTTGGCTTTTCGCCAATTGGGGGAAAATTCTGATGAAAACAAATTGATTTTATTGCTAGAATTTAAGGTAAGCGCACTTCGAAATTTCTATTGGAAGAAATATTTCTTACATGAATCATCTTTTGGCCTCCTGTCCTTCGGAGAGCAAGGTCTCACTTTTAATTTCTTTATCAATGGATTCATTTTAACATACTTGCGTTTAGACATGTTGCAATTTCACAATATTATTTATAGAGACGATATCAAAGTGATTTAATCAGTCATGGAATTTAGTATTTTTAACCTCGTAACTACAATCACTGAAGTGACATTTCCGCGGCATCCCAGCTCGTTTGTTGGCGATGGAAGACAATTCGTGAAGTGACAGGGACTTCGACGATGTTCAACTGTTTTAGAATTCCTAAAATGACGGTGTATGACCTGGGCCGATCTTATTAAGATCTGGCGGGGACTGGAAACCTCGGTCTGTTTTTTTAGAATATCGACGATACCCACATCGAGATGATACAGACCGCCAAGGGGATTGCAATAGGTTGAAGGAGAACAACCTAGGGTCCTCGAGTGTTTTGCCACCCGAGGTGGTTCCAATGGGTTCGGATTTAACGCATCGTCCACCGTCAGGATCTTAAAACCCCCTAGAAAAATGCCCTGGGCATGAATCGCAGCACACAATAAATGAGTTCGCCATCTCCTCATCGGCCAAACAATATTTGAGAGTTTGCTCTTTCGTATTTTAAAATTCTTACGCCATACAAATAGGAACTTTCACTCCTTCAAAGCGAAACTAAGCAAACTGGTAATATTTCCGCAAATCATAACTAATTAGAGTAGACTAGAAATGTGGAATAGATATCTAAGCGGGTTGTGATTTGACGGGAGTGAACTCACGTAGAGTTCAACTATTTAAAAGATATTATCAATGCGATTAAAAATGAATCTGGTATACTCTCTCAGTCTATGTTAGTTTGCAAAATAAATAAGGAAAGAGATAATGTTACTGGAATCTTGGCTGTCCGGGTGATACCGCGTCGTAGGCATGGTTGTATAGTTCGTTTCCCAGCCAGTCAAGATTCCTTCGACTCTGGCGGCGGAAGCATACGTCTTAAACGAAAGATATTGTAACGTATTAGCCAGCGTGCCTCATGGCATCTATTTAGGGACGCGTATTTGGTTGCGGATTAGTCTCGTCACAGGAAGAAGGGTTTTTCCGTAAAGGGAAGAACGCGGAGACGGGAGACAGCAAGGTTTGGGTGTTTCCGGCTTATAGAAGCTTTCACTCTGTTATCACAAGCGAGGGGTGGCGTGAACGTAGGAGGTACGTGGGCCTCGCCTATATAACGAGTGTTAACGGAGCAAGTAGGCAGGTTCTGGAGACAGTGGGAAGAACCCGCGGGTGCACAAAACTGGCCCTAGACGGTGCATAAGCGAGCCAGGACGCGAGGCTGGGTCTTAGTTGACGCACACGCACGATCTCACTCTGGGTGACTGCGGTCACGGGGGAGCGACTGCTGTGTGTGCAGGTGCTCCGGAGGCGTGAAGAGTGGTTGAGTGCCAACGATTCACTCGCGATCTCATCGGATAAGATCTCTGCGATGGAGGCAACTGGGCAGCCGATTGTGCGCAGAAACGGACTTGTGTCCCATGCGTGACATCCGGTCAAGGAACTAGGCTTTGTGCGCGCTAAAAGTAGGAGTGGCGAAGCACACACACAACAAATCAATCGGGTTTTAGATTCGCTCCGGATCAGGGATAGTAGGTCTATCAGCGCTAGGTGTAAGTAAATATTAAGTTATATATTTGTTTTGTTTTCGTGTTAAATTAAATATATTGTTATACGAAGCCTGTTCGGGTCCGCGTGTTAGCCATGACGTAACAATATAAGCCCCCCCCTTTGTCCCCCCAAGTAAAAAAGGAAATTTTTTGAACAAAAGTTAAAAAAGGAAAAATAAATTTTTGTGGCATATTTGCGGATTTTCAACGTGAGGTGTGGGTGTGGTCGCCTATTGAATATCTACCAGAAGGAAAAGACGTTACGTGATAATTAAAGGATACCAATATTTAGAACTAGAATCTATCACGTAGGAAGGAAGTGTAAAAATGGAAGATATAGAAGAAGAAGCTTATATTCTTAATGCTGAAACGTCATGGTAGTTGTAAAAAACGATAGTGATGGAATGAGTACGTTCCTGTATTGGCAGCACATTCATTGGAGGAGACGATAAGTACTATGCGTCTCCGACGGTGGAAAAAGTTAAACATCGCTCTATCCTTCTCTCGCATTTTTTATTCCAAGAAAACGTCTAAACGATTGGGCATGACACGCTGCCAATAAAATTATCGTACAGCCAATATCTTCATGAAAGTGTTGTAATGGAGTAAGATAATAAGATTCAGAAAAGGACCAACTGGCGGGGTTCGTCTCGCTTGTTAGGAGTATTGCTCGCAGGAAAGCCACTCTTAAGAGAGAGCCGGTCACTTGAATATCTTCAGACACCGTCTAAATTCGACTGGTGTCTTCCGAACTCGCGCTTAAAACTACTGCGAGTTCGCGCAATGCCTGTGCCCTAGCGCAAACATTTTGTTCTTCTTGCAATTAGGAAACTCGCGCGGAGGATTTTTCTTCCGCCCCCCCCCGCCCGAGATCCGCCGATCTACTCTTAGACCCGACCTACTCGCTGCGTTGACGAACGACTTCGAAGATGTAGAGATGGGCGGCTATCGCACGACAATCGTTTGGGCGGCAGAGCCATCCACCGCATGCTGGTGTTCGCGAAGACTCCTGAATGTCTGTCGACAAGTGGCGAGTAAATCGGGTCCTAGTCTTAACGGCCGCGCCGCGCAAGGGCCTTCGGAGTGCAATCAAGGCGGGGGGGGGGGGGGGTGCGGAGCGGAACGCGGGCGAAAGTGAGCGGAAGCGCCGGGGCCCACGGCGCATGCGCACTGCGGCCCCGGAAGCGAGCAGCGGGGAAACCGAGGGCGCATTCCTCGCTCTTGGTGGCCCGCGCTTTAATGCTCTGCGCTTACGTAATAGGGCCCGGCGCGCGCCAGCTATTCGCCTCCTCCCTCCCCCAGTCCTTTGAAGCAGAGCACGTCGCGTCTTTGGGGAGTTGGAGATGTGTTTCTGGAGAACGATTCGCAGGGTTAGAACGTAAACGGATGAACGAGATTCGGAGAGTGATATCTTAAATACATATTTTATATTTTTTTCTTTGAGTTATGTATTAAGTTTGCACTAATATACTTAATTTACTTATTTGTAATCGAGATACTGATTAAAAATAGTTATTGGTATAGTAATGATGATGACAAAGATGAAACTGACATGTTGATGGTAAACATAATATTGAAATGTTTCTGTGGATGAAGAAATCGACTTCTTGAATTTTCTATTGTTACGTTTGCAGTCATTGATATTGGATCTACAATAATAACTCGTTCACTATTTACTATACGATAGTTAAATCTGACGAATGTGTGATGTCTCCTGTCTTCCAAGAAAGGGCCGATAAATAAAAATAATAATTATAGTGAAGCCGACCAAGGTAGCCCAGGTCGCCAAGGCTGAAGAATCGTAGCTGCCCCGTGCTTGAAGGGGTGAGCGTGCGAGTCCCGCCCGAGGCATGGATGTTTATGAGTGTGGAATTGTACATTCATCCTTCATCATCATCATCATCATCCTTTCATAACTCCGCCAGGGCGAGCATACGCGGGGTGTGAAAGTGTTTTCAATGCAGAGGTGACGATCTCCCTCGAATAAGTCGCGAGCTCTCTCGGGAAAATACGACGGTCTCGGTGGGCATACATTCGCGTGGTCTGAAGAATGCCAAAAAAACATAGTGGAGTTAACGATGGTTCAACATTTACAATTGACGCCGATGTACTGTGCCAACACCTTCCAGACTGTGTTACACGGTGTCACTTACACCCATTCTGCCGCAGCTCATGTACCGAGTTACTGTTGTTGGAGTCTGATTTTGATTTGATTTGTTTACCTCGTGTTTCCGGGCGCGTCATCTAATACGGCCATTAGTTCTGTAAGATAGTTCCTATCTTTTATCGCGAGAGTCGGTAGTGATCATTTCCCGCTGAACGGTGAGATCCGACGCCGACCTCCCCATCGGCTTGCGGGGTTTTCCCCAAGCACACATCTTCCACCAGCCGGCACAAACTCTAAGCTCCTGACAGGTATCTCGACTTGTGTGGTGGTGTAGTGCGTGCAAGTGAGGGTTGAAGCTACGAATGGGAAGGGGAAGGAAAGATCGCGCGCGATCGGTTATTCCTTTTCTTAGGGTAATGTTTCGTCTTTCGTCTGGAATTGGAGAAACACGGAAAACTACCGATTATCCTCCAGTTAGCGGCTGAACTTTGCGTAGCTATGTAGTTGGCGTCAATAATCCTGTCACCGTCGGGAATCGAAAGCTAGGACCTTCCGGTCAGAGGAACTGCAGTGACATCAGTTGAAACCCTGGGAATTGTAGCTCTTGAGGAGGCGGAGAATGTTACAAACAATAACGATAATGTAAATGACGTTTCTAATGCTAGGAATGAAGCAAATATAACACAGTTTTATTGCATCCCCACAGACAATGGTTAAGGATTATTTCGAATGGTATATATCATGTTTGCTTTTTAAAAAATTTGTCGGGAAGTATGTTTTTCAGTTCCATGAATCCATTGACTGGGAAGCTGTTCAATATTTCTGTCTTCTAAGTTTTGAAATGGTGGATCATTTAATAATGGGTTCAGATGATCGAAGATGGAATCAGGTGGAACGATAGTGATCAGAAGAGTTGCAATATACGTCATACGCTATATGGTACATTTCATGACTTTACTACTCACAGGAAATGGCGTAATTACTTATTGTTTTTCTTGTATATTTAACTTTTTGTGGTGTCGAAATTTGCCCTCTCCAAACTTTATATTGTCTTAGAAGCCAACTCATACGCTTACAATGTAAAACTAGAAGCGAAATAAATCATTCATAAGCTGATAAAATAGATAAATTGATAAGTTAGTATTGTTTTTAAAGGTGCGAACAGATATACCCCGAATATACTACTCATAACTTCATCATTGTCTCCTGAACATGTTTATTTACCGAAATTGATATTTGAGGGCTTATCTTTTCCATTATCTGTTTGTACGTTTGGATTTCATGATAAAATCAATATGGTTCATTTTAAATCGAGAATTGTTGTTTGAAATATCCGGTTTTAGGGTGGTTTGAAATTTGTTTCCAATGCAGTGAAGTTAGTATACATTGTCATTCACACCCAACCGCATAAACATTTTTTTTTTAAATCGAAATATGTTCTATTCCATGATTATTTTTATCATTAGTAAGAAGTATGATATAATTCCATAAAAAATGAACAATACTTCTTAATGCAATTTTCTGAACATTAAACGTTTTAATAATTTTTAAAATGACTTCTATTTTATGGTTAATTACGTACGCAGAACTAGCGAAAATGAAACAACTTTGAATTTTGTTTATTGTATTAATTTGACATGAATTTAATTTCTTTGAGATGAAACGATATTGAATATCATCTTCTGATAAAATAATGACCTATCGATGCTGTTCGTTTGAGGAAACCTCTTCTGAAAGACAAGTTGGATTTGG